AGAGTGAGAGTGGGAATCGATGAAGCCGATAAGCCCAAGGGCTTGCATTTGTGAGAAGCTGAAATCCCCCTTCTCCATAAGCCAAATTAGCTCCAAATAGCAAAGAATGGAGTCCTATGGATGAGAGGAATGTGTTTCTATCAGGTTACTTTAGGGGGGTTGGAGTTTTAGTTAACATTTTAGATTATGACGTAATTGTTACTTGATTAACATGTTTAATTATTTTAAAATGTATTAATCAAAATACTTATTTTTATAGGGTACACAGCCTAATTTCCTCTAAACATAATATAATAGCATTCATTCAAAGTCCAAGCCCAAAACACTTCCTTCCATATTCAATCGCGCTTTAATGACAGGCAATTTCCCGACTGACATGGCAAGCAATTTAAAAAAAAAAAACAAAAGATTAAATTTGCAAAATTGGAACCCCTCCCCAAATACAGCAACTCCTTCCCCCAAATCCACACCCACCACCCACAAATTGGAAGGCCGACTCCAAACTCTGTCCTCTTCTCCGGTAGCACTTCGACACCCACCACCCACACAATCAATTCCACCCAAATCAAGGGCAACACTTTCATCGTCTCCTACTGCACGTCATTCTAAGGTACCATCGCGTCCTCCAGCAACAAATTCATGTACTATTCGGCCACCGGACGATTTTGAAGGTCGTACTGTGCTCGAAGTTTCCTCTGCTCTACTCTGGCTACTCTTCTTGTCATAGCTACCAGCAACTATTTGAAAAAGAAAAGGGAAGTTAAAAAACAGGTAGATTTCGAGCAAATCGTTTTTGCCCCCTTTTCTCTTTCTCCGTTTATTTGTGTTCCACTTCCTTTTACAATTTTTGAATTTCAATTCATCATCTTTGAATCTATCTTCATTTTGCTGTGTGTTGTTATTCTGCTATCCGTCCATCTCTGTCTTCATTATTTCTTCTTGTTCGTGTAATCCCCTGCATTTCAATGGAACATATCAATGAATGAAATACAACTCACTGTCCAAAATTCTATTTTCTACCAAAAAAAAATGTCAAATTGGGGCTAAATATACACTCAAAGTTTGATATTGTTTTTGACACTCCATTATTAACAAAAAAATTATTGGCGAGAAAGTGTGTTTTCACAAAAAAGAAAAAAAAAATGGTCAATGTGATGTTACGTGACATGATGTAAAGAATAATGTAAAAAAGAGAGTATATATATCATGATTGAAATTAAAATATTCGTTAAGATGATATTACTCTATATAAAAAGATTAAAATATAGACTTTTTAAATTTAAAATAGTTTATTTTAGTCTAAATTAAATTAAAAAGAAAGTAAATTAAGAAGACAAATATGAGCATAAGGAGAGGAGCAAAATGAAAAATTTTGAAAGACGGAGTGAGGCCTTTGTTATCGATTTGAAGCTCAAGATAGGTTGAATCCAGAAAAATTGACCACTCGGCCGCCTTCCTTTGCTAGTTGTTGGTGCAGTGGTCAATATTTTTTCAATAAAATTAACATTTAGTTATTCTTCCCCCGTCATATCCTGCTTTCAATAATTAACCGTCAATGAGATATATTATATATTCATTATTTTATGTTGATTTACAAATTATATATTAGACCGTACTTGATAATATTCAATTTTTATTTATCATATAATCAAGTATCATTTAGGTAGCGTATTCATCTTTAATTATCCAATTAATAGCTAATCTAAGTAGGTGCAACCGTGAAAGGTCATATTTAAAGGTGGATACTATCGTCACTTAAAATGGCGCTAACACATCAATAATTCTAGATAGCAGTACTTTAGTATTTATAATATCCGCTAATCCTTCAATGCCTTTCTGGGTTTCATTATAATTTTCGCATACGTAGAGGTCAAAGTCAATATTTATTTAACTACACGTTTACAACTATTACCATTTATTCCCTTTATCCCATAAAAATAGACTTATTTTTATATTTACACAGATTAAGAATATATAATTAATATAGTTGAAAATACAAATTTTTCTTACATTTTTTCTAATATATATCTTTACATTAAATAATTGTTTAAATAGAAGTAATTTATATTTGTTGATAACAAAACACATTAAATATGTGCATAATATTAGAAAATTAAATAAGAAAAGTGGTCTATAATTTAGGGGAGACGAAAAAAGGAAACAAGTCTATCTTTATGGACGAAAGGATAATTCATGCATTTCTTGAGATCCACTAATCACGTTCATTTTACTCCCTCCGTCCCATAAAATATGTGTTCTATTTTCACACATATTAATATGCATATACTAAGCTCTTGGTTTGGACTTTATTTTAATGAGGTTTTGAGAAATTTGTATTTTGAAATAGTTATCTTTTGGAGAATATATGATTAAAAAGCAAGGAAATTTTTGAATAAATGTATAATATTATTTTATTAAAAATGTGTAGTTGAAAATAAAGAAAAAAAAATTCTATTCAAGTAAAACAGAATCCAAATGGAGGCTATATTAGTTTAAATAAGTAATACATTTATTGATAATAGACATATTAAA